TTTTATCTTTTTATGACGTAGTGTATTTTTCTTTTTTCCAACTCTATTTGGTCAATAAATGTTAATTGTTCAGAATGTGTTATCTAGCCACAGGGTGTCCTTGTACTTTATCAGTTTCATAAAAAAAATGTAATAAATGGTAACTGTCCCGTGATTCTGTTCTATTTGTTCTCCAAGTTTCCCAAGTTTAAGTTCACCCCAGGCTGTAAATAATTCATTATTTTCAATAATTATACATGTATATTTTACCTACAGTTACTCAATTTGTCTTTTATAGCATTCTTAATATCTTAATTATCCCTTGCCGATGCATGGCAGCCCCACCTCTGTCAGTGCGCCCCAGGGCAGCTGTGGCTACAGTGTAGTTTGCCATCATCAGTGTGTGAATGTGAGTGTGAATGGGTGAATGTCTGTTAGTGTAAAGCACTTTGGGGGTCCGGAGGGACTTGAAAAGCGCTCTATAAGTTCAGTACCATTTACCATTTAAATAGCTGCTTCCTGGTCAACAGTCGGCTCTGGAAACGATCGCTTTTTTCTTTTTTTTTCTTCTTCTTTTGAAGCGAGTGGTTGAAGCAAATGCAGCATAAGAGCCCCCTGGTGGCTGAAGAAAAAAATCCACGTATAAGCCGTACCGGACTATAAGCCGCATGGTTCAAAGTTCAGGAAAAAAGTCGCAGCTTATAGTCCGAAAAATACGGTAACTTCTGGGTCTTTATAAATCTGACTCTTCTTTATCTATCTTACAATGACTCAAAATAAGATAAGATAGACCTTTATTGTAATTGTACAGAGCACAATGAAAAAAATCTGAAAAATGATCGACAGAAACATCTGATTCTTTGCAGTCTGTTGTTAGCCATTGTAACGACTCATTCAGGCATTCCCCTTTGACATCACTTCCTGTTTCTGCCCGTGCCAATATCTCAAAAACTGTTCACTTCAGTGTCGTGAATTTTTGATTGCAATTCGTCATTGATGTTATCTTTCCAAATATGCGCTCAAATATATCACTTAAATTTAATGTCACAGGCACTTTAAATCTAATAAACATGTTTTGTATCCTAATTTGTTCAAGGAACCATAATAGGTCCTCTTTAAAGGTTCAAGTATAACATCTACAGTTTTATTACACAGGACAAATCAGACCAGGATATGGATTCACATATCATGTTAATATATGTTAATATGTTTTTCTCATGTTTGCTTCACATACATAATTATATCTAATAATAACATGTACTCAGCATGGTTGGGCATAATCGTATCGTGCACAATTAATCATCAGAAAAACATTAAACGATTATTTTTTGGCACTTGACGATTAATACAATTAATGCTACCAGGGGAGATTTCTCCAGTCAGTCCGCTCGATGCTCCTCTCTGCTTCAAGGGGGTTAATCGTCAAATTAATCGTTATGGGCTAAATACCACAATTAATCATGATTAATTTTTTTTGCCAATATTGCCCAACCCTAGTATTTAGCACAAAAAGTAAATACATTTGTATTTTGTAGGTTGTATCTTTGCTTCTTGGTGATAAATCTTTTATTGTTGGAAAGACAGTCACTTTCCCTTTTAAATGGTGCCGCATTTGCAAGGAACATGCATATTGAATAGAATAGAAATAGCCTTTATTGTCCCACAGAGGGGAAATTCAGGTGTCACAGCAGCATCCGAACAGAGCTTCACTCAACTAGTTACTTTACAAACTATAGATAGTGCACACCAAACAAAAATTAACACTGATTAGCAATGATACGACTATTAATAATAAAAAATAACATATAGAATTGTGCAAGGATAGAAAAATATATGTTTTGTTTTAGAGACAGTAGACTATCAGAATCCAACATTAGGAATCAGAGTGCAAAACAGTCTCRACAGACCAATAACTGTAAAGTGAAGTATCACAATGCAGACAAGAAACACAGATGTGCAATTATAGCAGAGTAGTAGTGCAAACGATTGTTCAGTTGAGTAATTACAATGAATAGTAACAGTACAAATGACTGTGCAGCAGCAGGTGTGTAAACACTTATTGAGATTTTTGCAAACACTTATTGTGATTTTTGGGCGTGGTGCTGGTTATAAAGTCTGACAGCTGCTGGGAGGAAGGATTTGTGTGATGAGCAGTAAGAAGAAAAAGAAGAAAGAGCTACGAAACGCAAATTTACTTATTTTTTGTTCTGGTTATATTTACAGTACATGTATCCATAACAAATTTTTCCATCTAATATATAGAGGTTTTTCCTCAAACACTCCTCTAGAACAAGCTACATGTCGGCAGTGCAGAAGTAATAAGAGAGCTGTAGCACGACTGTTGTTGAAAAAGCTTTTACCTGATTGGCTAAGTCGCGGTCAGGGTCTGACTTCTTCCTGTAAACAGTTAGTCGCAGTGAGAGAGCCATAATGTGTGAGAGGGAGGAGATAACACTCAGCCCTACGGCGTGCCACAGCTGGAACGGCAGCATGGTGTATACTGTGAAGATGATAAAAAGGAAGAAAGGCACCTGGAAAACAAAGGAAATGTCGTATTACTTTACAACTATTTACTGATGGTGCTCGTAGATAAAAGAAACATTTTAAACAGGAATAAATGACCACATCATCTCAATCACATCTGTACAAAATGTAGCTTTCACTGAGGGTGCGGGAGTTAAAACGTGAAGCGGGAGCTACCTGGTCCCACGCCACGACGATACGGCTGCTGAAGATGAAGGTGTACCCCAAGGTGAGATGTGTGACCCAGATGATCAGGCCGAGTAAAAGCCTCCATCGCTGTGCGAGCAGCTCCGTGCACACCAGCACTAGCACAGCCAGGAACACACACAGGCTGCTGCTCACCACGCTCACAAAGGCATAATCATCCTCAGCTCTCTGTGACAGCAGCAAGGGAAAGAAACAAGCACACTTTTTACAATATTAATGCTTTTCTCAAGCAGGTTTCCTGTGTTACTGAAAGTCTCACAGCTTTAACAGGTGACAGTGACTCGTTTTTAAAAGCACCACAAATAAACCTCAAAGAATGTGCCTTTAAACCTGACTCTTTACTATATGATAGAATATACTTTAATAAATTTCCTAATTTACTGTTTTTTTGAAAGTAGTAAGTGCACATTCTGAATCAAGAACGCACAGAATATTAAAAAAAACTGAAATGTTTTTATGTGTGCCATTCGTAATGATGTCTGAATGAATATGTTTGTGCGTGCACACCAAAAGGCACGAAGCATTTATGGACATATTAAGAGTTTCACATGGTGTTTAAAAAAAAAGTCTCAGCATAAGTGGAAGCAAGAGTGGGAGTTGGGAGGGCGAACACGAGAGAAAATAAGGGGTTAAAAGAGCGCTTAAGAGCGAGGCACACGCACAAAGTCGGTGTTAATAGATCGTCATGCGGAGAAGGCCATCCTGCGTTTTATGTTGAGCTTTCTGGTTGCCATGGCAGCACTGGAAAAGGCCAGATTTCTACTAAACCTTTTTTTTTCAGCTCCCTGTGTCTTAATGAAACCTTTTTTTAAGTCAGGGACAGGGAAATTATCCTGTTTTAGCAGAGAATAAAAATCACATAAACACAACGCGGATAGCATTTGTAACACAAAGACCAACTATATATATA